ACATGATTGACACGGTGAGATAGTCCTGTATGGATACGGCATTGAAACCCGTCCTGTATGAATACGGCATCGGAAGCCGTCCTGTATCGATACGGCATTGGAACCCGTCCTGTATGGATACGGCATTGGAACCCGTCCTGTATGAATACGGCATTGGAACGCGTCCTGTATCGATACGGCATTGGAACCCGTCCTGTATCTATACAGCATTGGAGCCCGTCTCGATGAATACGGAATTGGAACCCGGCAGCCTAGAGGACTTTCTAAACAATGATATAGACTTCATTTTTTTCTGAAAGTTGTGCTTCCGTGGGTATTATTAATCGGACAAACTTTTCATCCCCTCCCTGTAAATTTGTTGATACTTCTATTAAAATAATTAATCAGGTTGTCCCAACAGAACATGGGCATTACAATATAAAAAAATATATAATTGTTTTCTCGCCAAGTTTAGATTTAATAAATTCTTGACATTTTTTGTCAAACGACTTCATAGTTGCTGCCCTATCAGACATAGTACGAGTTATTTTTACTAGCATATTTTTTTATAAGAATCAGATGTATTGTTAGTAAAAGAATCATAATTATCAGACAGTTTCTTAAAACAATGTATGGCTAAATCTAACAGAGTATCTGCATCTCTCGTAGCAACGGGTGTAAAGCCTAGATAATAAGATTAGTTGGTATCTATAGTAAGCTGATGGCCAACAAACTTCTTGTAGTCTCTTGATAATCGATCACAGTGTAATGTACAGGATTTAGAGACAGCCTCAGCTACTTAAAACTTACTTATGGAATACCCTTCATCAAGTATATTAATACAGGTTTGACTTGAGGGGAAACTCTTTAAAAACATGATGAAAAATATATTTTGAAACAATATCAATGACATTTGAAACATTCATAGCAGCAACTTTTCCATCACACATAAGTGCAATAATAGCTCTACGTGTGTCATCAGAAAAAATATTTTGTGCAGTCTTTAATTCTAAATTCTTTATCTAGAACCCCCCCCCCCCTAGCGCTGTTCTAAGGGCCTATCAGTATCTTTTCGTGCTTGTTGCTCATCAATCTTTAAGTTTCCTAATTTGTTAAACACTCCATTGTTTTTTGGTCTTGGTTTATTTTTT